TTAATTGACAGTCCTATGTATTATTTGTTGTCGCCTAGACATTTACCTTTTAAACACCTTAAGATTGTCTAGAACTACCCAAGTCTAGAGGTCCTAAACTCCTCCGGGACCACAAGGAAGGGACGGGTAAAGCACGCTTAGAGTTCGTTAATTAACTCGCTTATAACCACTAAGGGGAGGGTAATGGGTAGTAAAAGGATGTGAAGACTGCGCTAGTGTCACGTGTAGCCCCTCTAGTTGAGGAGGATTACCGGGCATTGCACAGATTGATCCTATAGGCTAATCAACTTAGGACTTCCCTTTCCCAACTCACATGTGTTTAAACTATTTAAATTTCTTTTCTTTACACATATGTGTTTAAACTGTCTAAACCTCTTTTACTTTCATATATGTGCATTGGACCATCTAAACCTCCTTGATCATATATGTATTTAGACTGTGTAAACTACCTTTATTTGTAAATATGTGCTGAGACTGCTTACTTTTTAATTGACTAATTCACATAGTTCGGCCGGAACCCACCGTTGTGGACCGTGAGGGGTGCCTAACACCTTCCCCTCAAGGTTATTTCGAGCCCTTACCCTAATCTCTGGTAATGCAAACTGGTTACAAGAGTTAATTGCTCTAGGTGCCCTAACGCACCTTAATCCGTTAGGTGGCGACTCTTCAAACACCCAATTCCCAAAAGGAAATGAGTTGTTCCCCCATGAATGTCGAAACTCGGACTTCCCCGCGAAGGAAAAAAAGGGGGCACGACACAATACAAGTCAAAGGGATTCTATATTAGCAATAGTACTCATGTTTTGGTCACTTAGGCATTTTATCAAACACTTGGTGGGTATAAAGCTCATAGCCCTTATTAATGGTGTTTCTACACCCAATAACCCATTCTCTTACTCCTAGATAAATTCTAAAATCTCAAATGATTATAATCAACATCATTCTTCATCACCCATAAGATAAACAACAACCTTATCCAATAATCAACAATCAACAACCCAAACCTATAATTGTTCATGTTTTTCTGTCAAACCCATCAACTCATATCTCATGAACTAGAGTCTATAATCATTAATCCAATATTATAATCAAGTAGAGGGTGAAGATATTACCTTTTTGACGTTCAATCCTGTTGAATTTGAGTCCTAGAGTTTCTTTTCTCAACAGTGATGTCCCAATCAAATATCTAATGATTTGAAGGGTTCACCCATGTTAATAAGGTGTCGAAGAATTGAAATTAACTTATAATCACCATTAGAACTCACATTGGATGGTGGAGGGACCTTGGGAGAGGTTAGGTTCTTGAGAGCCTCCCTTTCTAGAGCAAGTTTTTGTGTTTTGGGGTGTGGGGGACGAAGTAGGGCTTTTAAAATGACCCCCCCCCCCTCCCCGAGTGTTCTCCCGCCAACCTGAAGGTCCAACCGCGCACCTAAACGCGCAGCAGGGCAGTAGCACTATTAAAAGTGCGTGGCCGCACACAGGACTATCCGGGCGCGCATACTGCACATTGTCCAGTAAAACGCACATAAATTGTTGCACAGAGATCCGTTTGGGCTCCACAATATATCGTTGGAAGGCTATTTCAAAGGGCTACAACTTTAATGTTTTGTTTTCCCAAATTATTTACAAATTTGCACGAAATCCTAATGGAAGACAGACCTTACGTAAACTTAGTCGATGTTATCGAATCTTATGCACCTCACTCTCCATCTTGATTCAAAAACAGCTATTTCCACCCATACTGTCAAGACCCAAGTTCTCCCTCCGTGAACTGTCGTGACGGCACCTAGTCTCTATGACTAGGTAACCCTAACAATTTGCGGAAAAAGGAAATAAAGATACGAAACTAGCAATTTACCGGTAATATAATAGAGAAGTTTAAAATGCCGCTCAGCATATACAATAATAACACTCTCGGACAGTAGTAACACTCCCAAAACCCGGAATCTCATGATCACAAACTAGAGGAAATACATAGTGTTCTAACTCCAGAAGTCTAAACAAAAGTAATTACAGAAGGTCTATAGCTAAAGGGAGAAATTAAGAGGGACTTCTCGGTCTGCGGACGCGGCAGATATACCTCGAAGTCTCTAAAAAATTGCCTCGCCTCACTGATGGTATAGCTCAGCAGAAGAACCTGGATCTGCACACAGAAAACATGTGAAGGAAAGGGCATGAGTACACCACAGCGGTACCCAGTAAGTGCCAAGCCTAACCTCGGTCGAGTAATGACGAGGAATGTCAGGGCCCTACTGGTTATATATATAACAAGGTAAGCAGTATGAAATGAAGCAGTATGATTAAAGTACTAACAGTCGATAAAGAATAAAAACACAAAAAGATAATAACCCAGTACGCAGAGATAGCAACAGGAGATCTACCAGGATATCATCCCGTAGTCCCAAACGTAAATGTACAGGGGGATCTACCGGAATACCGATCCATAGTCCCAAAGTAAATATCCAGTACAGGAGAATCTACCGGGTGTCGTCCCGTAGTCCCAAATATAAATGTGCAGGGGGATCTACCGGAATACCGATTCGTAGTCCCAAAGTAAACATGCAGGGGGATCTACCGGAATACCGATCCGTAGTCCACAGTAAACACACAACAGTCTCAAGAAAGAATCTACAGTTCTATTCAAGTTCATACCAAGAAAAGCTGAGATTTCTATTCTAAACATGCTGCACAGAATTCAAGTAAGCAGTTAAAGCATATACGGCAGTTAAGTCACATAGTCATGCTTTCCTAAGCTAAACAGGAAACTTCAAGTACAAGTATTGTTCAATTAAAGGAAGACATATATATTTACTTAATGAAAACGGGGTTTTTCAACAATTAGCACGTGTACGCACTCGTCACCTCACGTACACGGCACTCATATAACAACAGTACCAAAATCCTAAGGGGAGTTTCCCCCACACAAGGTTAGGCAAGCCACTTACCTCGAACCAGCTCAAAATCAATCCGAAATCACGCTCTTGCCACGAATATCCAACTCCAAGTGTTCCAAATCTAATCAAACGAATATCATAACGTAAATACAACTACAAACAACTAATTTAGCTAAAGAAATCGAAGCTAAGGCAAGAAAATACAAGAACGCCCAAAAATCCTCCCCGGGCCCACGTCTCGGAATCGGGTAAAAGTTATATTTGGGACTACGGGACGACACCCGGTAGATTCCCCTGTACTGGATATTTACTTTGGGACTACGGATCGGTATTCTGGTAGATCCCCCTGCACATTTACGTTTGGGACTACGAGACGATATCCTGGCAGATTCCCCTGTTGCTATCTCTGTGTACTGGGTTATATTATTTCTGTGTTTTTATTCTTTATCGACTGTTAGTACTTTAATCATACTGCTTCATTTCATACTGCTTACCTTGTTATATATAT